GCCCCGCCGAGCTGCGCTCGTCCGACATGGCTTCTGTCACCACCTCGGCCAGGGACAAGCGGGTGACACCGTAATACTTGGACAGGGCGGCTGCCACCCTTGACTTTCCTGAGAGAGAGAGGAAGACTGCTTGGTGACACTTCCACGTGAGGCATTTTCAGGGACAGGCTCTGGAAAACTCACAGACAAGTTTCGAGGATGGTGGGAGAGCAAGTGCCCTTCTAGGGGAGACCACAAGGGAGGCAGCTTTAGCATGGTTATGAGCACTGAACTCCAGCCCCAGGTGGATCATCTCCACCTCATATGCAGCTGAGGACTTTGTCTCAGGCACCATGGTCCACCAGGATGCATTTCTCCTGCTTCCCCCTCTCCTTGCAGCCCAGGGCTGTGGCTCCCGTACCTGTCCGGGGTGTCCCATAGACGATGATAACAATCCCTCTGGGCATTTGGGCTTTGATCTCTTCTACAACGGGACGGGTGTAGCGCCTGATGGCCTGACGGATGGGCCCGTCAGACTCATCCACCATGTCCTTTAACAACTCGATGCTCTCTTGAAGCGCTGCTGTGCAGAACCAGTAGAAAAGTCAGCCTCCTGCCTACCTTGGATCCTGATCGTCCTCCCTATCCCCTCAGATCCCAGGAAAGGAGACAGCTGAAAGCAATGTGAGCTTGTGCTTTTGTTGCTGGGAAGGAGCAAATATAAAAGAGCCAGTGATATTAGACCTGGTCCTACTGGCTGAAGTAGCATCCATCTGATGCTACTCTTTGTGGCTAAGGGACGAAAGGGGATATCCTGAATATTTCCCCAGTCCGTGGCAGGCAGATAGGAGCTTGCTTTGGCTACACTCCAGGTTGGCAGAGGATGCCACAGCCCTTCACCCAGGAATTCCTCCACCAGGCAGGAGATCAGATGGCTGCTAAAAGCATGGGCTTTGCATGGAGAACAAGGTGACAGAACGCTCAGGGTGTGTGGGCTGGGCTCCCTGCTATGTCCACAGTCAGAACAGCCAATGCCAAACCCTTACCATTGTCCTCACCTGATTCTTCCTTGCACTTGGACATAATTTCTTGACCCAGAGCTTCCATCTTCTTCCATTTCTCATAATATTCTAGCACCTCTGGAGGCAGCTTCTCACCCACAGCACGTGGAGGCATCACCACGGCTGCCTGGTCTCCAAACTCCTCCAGTGTCCGCAGGATCTGTGTGTGTGGGGAAGAGAAACCATCCATAAGATTCCTCTATCAACCTCCATCATACCAACAGACTCAGCCCATCTTCTCCCTCCTTCCTTCCTCCCAACAACACAGGCTATCCAAGCCCCTCCACAGACTGCCAGCAGGGATGGCTCACCTCAAAGTGCCACCAGGCTTTGCCTCAGGGATTGCCTCCATCTCCCTGGCACAAGCCTGGGAAGGCTGGAGTGCTGCAGAGCTTGGGGAGCACACACATGGGGACCAGACCTTCCCTCTCACCTTCTCCTCCTCACGGTACTCCTCGTCAAAATCCAGGGAGTAAAATTCAATGGGGAACTCGCAGGGGTTCTTCACCACCACTGTCCTCTCCAGCTCAGGGCTGCACGGCAACACTGCTCCCAGCTTGATCTCTGTGGGGCTGAACTCCAGCCGTGGCTCCAGACCCTGTCCTGAGATGTGCAGTACAAGGAGCTGGCTGCTCCCATGAACGTTGATCTTCAACTCGGTTTTGTAGGACTTCTACAAAAAAAAGAGAAAACTTGTCCATGAAGTCCTAGGTGACAGGACCCCAAATACAAGCCTTGCCCAAAGGTCAGGGGTGTTATCAGTCCCTTCAGGGGGAATGGAAACCCAGATATTTACTTATGGTAGGGGCTACAGCATCTGTGTCCTTGGCTCTGAGTAACTGGGATGAATCCTGGTGTGCAGTGTAACTGGGTATTTGGGTATGAGATGGATGTAAAATGGATTATCAGATGTTCTCTCCCCTAGTCATGGAGGAGCACATGAGAAAGGCCCTCAGTCCTGGCACTGCTGCATCAGGCAAACACCACCTCCATGAGAGAGGCAGATAAGCTCTTGCTGGCTAAAAATAAAGGTTGTCTTCTCTGCTCAGTGTTTGGTTCTGGTCAAAGCCTGACACAAGATGGTTGGTTACATCTTTCTAGCAATGAAAAGATCCCTGGGACTGTTCTTGGGCATGGAAGCACTTGTGTCCCTCCTGTTACACCCTGTCAGTTTCCAAGTCCCCATGCAAAGGGCTTTTGGGAATGTTCCATCCTTGAAGTCGACTCCCCAGCTGCACAGCAATGTGTAGGCAGGCTGGGCCAGAGCCCCAGAGACTGCTGGCAGCACACCACTACAGGTGACTGTCCTGCCATGCCCAGGAAGGTGTCTGGTGGCTGTTTTGTCTGTTGGTGCCAGCAGCAGGATGAGCCAGCATTGGCCCTTCCAGGTTGATGCCCTGTGACTGTGCCAGCTGCTCTGCACCCAGCGTCGCAGGCTGCAAATACAACCAGGCAAGGGGGAGGACGAGGGGAGTCAGGCAGATCTCCCCCATGGGCAGAGAGGCAGCCACAGCACAGTGCCCTGATGTTCTCTGTGAGGCACCTCTCAGAAGGGTGTGCTGCAGGGGAAACTGAGGCCCAGTGAGTGCAGGGCTTCCAGAAAGCTGCCTGTGGAGGAAAAGCTCATCTGCCACTCCCTGCGTCAGGCTCTCCTTACCACCCTGCCCTGAGAGAGCTCCTGGGGCGACACCTGCCAATCTCACCTCTTCCAGGGGGGAAAACTGGATCTTTAGGTCACACCACTCTCTACCATAAAGGGTTCCCTCCTGGGCCTTCCACTGAAAGACTTGGGAATCGTCCTTCACAGCCTGGAGCTCCTTCTGATGCACAGCTGGTTTTGAACATTTGTTCACCTGAGCACAGAAAACAGTTGTGTGAGGTCTCCTTGGTCTGTGAGGACAGAGCCTTGGTTCCTGGAGTGCTCTGAGATCCTGTCCCGGTGCTGAGAGCACCCAAAGCAAACCCAGCGTGGCCCCCACAGTCTAGAACTGGAGGGACAACCTGCAGGCAGGGCAAGCAGATGGGGAGCCAACCATCCTGTCTTCGGAGGAGGAGGAGGAATGGGTGATGATGGCAGAGAAGCAAAGCATCAGACAATGGAACAGGTCCAGGCAAAGCAACCTTGATCTGGACCCTCAAAAGCTTCCTCAAACACGTTGCAGCAAGCACTCAGGCAGCCACAGGCACAGAAAAGGCAGGAGGTGCAAAGAAAACCCGACCGCAACGTTCCGTGTTACATTCGCCTGGGCTTTACCTTCTTGGCAGGTTTGCTGGCACTGAGGAACCATTCACAGGGCGCGTTGAACGGGTTGTAGAGTCGGACCGTTTCACACCAGCACTGCCCAACCTGGACATCAGGGAACTGGAGTCTGTCCTTGGAGAGGCTGAGCAGTGGCTGAATCACAATGGCACGGAGGCGGATGTGCAGCGTGGGGCCTTTCTCTACCTGGAGAAGGACAGAGAGTTCAGCTGAGAGTCCAGCTGACACGTGCTGCTGTGCCCAGCCTGCTGCCTACCACAAAAGCTGCGGTACCTTGATGGGCAGGAGCACATCCACCTTTCCCACAGGCAAGTTGGCACTTGAAAACTTCACTTGAAATGGTATGGTGTCACCGTTGATCAGGGACTCCACAGGCTCCAGGTATATGCTGAAACCTTGAACAGATGAAAACAAAGCAGCTGAGATACACAAGCAATATGAAATGTGTCATAAGCATGTTAAGGCCATATGGGTGTCCTGCTGAGAGCCTTGGGAAAAACCCCATGCTGTGCTGTTCCTGGGACAGAAACTTAGAGGAGACACCTGAGCAGCCCTCAGACACAGTGAGCCACTTTGTGATGGAAGTGCAGATTTGCCTCCAGGCCTTTTTTGGAAGCCTACTTTGATCCACCAGAGGATCAAACAGGCTGTTTCCTCAATAAAGGCTGAACACAAGAGCTGTGACAGTGTGAACTCCAGACAAAGCACTTTCCAACCACAATAGATCCCATCTGTTTGCAACACACCCATGGAGTGCCCAAAGAAACTTGATGCCAATGGGAACCAAAGGCAGAAGATGCTGGCAGGTGAAGAGGGTAATCAGCCCATCAGGCCCCTGCAGGGAAGCGTCAGGGCAGTCTCAGGCAGGCCAGGTCCCTGGGCACGGCTGGCCAGAAGAATTCTGGCCCTGAAGCCCCCAGCAGGGGCACTGGGAGGAAGAAGCTCAAAAAACCTCCCCATGTGCAGTGACTTAAGCTAATCTATCTGAGACAGCTCCTTGCAGCCCACGGGAAGTCTCTCCAGCACTGGTTACCTGTGTCACGCAGGGCACGTCCATTGGCCCGGACGGCCACTGGGTACTTCCAGGTGTTGGTGATGTTCACGGTGCAGATTTTACTGAAACCCTGAACGACAGTGCCCATGTCCAGGATGTACTCAGGTAGCTCAACTCTGGAAGGAGGAGTAAGGACAGTCCTTAAACAACAGAGTGGCTACATGTTCAAGCAGCTCCAAAGCTCAGTACGGCGCTGGGGAAGGGAGGACAGTCAGCTGCTCACGAGCTATTGCTGTCACAGCTACTGGGATCAGACCCTTTCTGAAGTGCCCACTGTTCCCAGCTCTGCATGTACAAGGAGCTCTCAGAAGCAGGGGACACTGCTGGGTGTTGCCCTCAGGGCACCTGCAGAGAGGGGACAGGAGTCCCTACTCACTTGACAAGCTTCTGAGGAACGCTGTTGTCAAAGACAGTGTCCTCTGGGGGGCGGGAGATGAGGGTTGGTTGCAGCTCCAGAGCATCTTCCTTTATCAGCATCTGGTCCATCTCCATCCTCAGCCAAGTGTTTATCTGAGGGAAGGGAAGGCAGTGGCTGGTTAGCAAAGACCCTTCCCAAGGCCCAGGCTTGTATCTGAAAGAGGATCCCACCCTGCTCTTGTTGAGAGGGGGAATGGGGGTCCTCCTGTCTGGCTGCTCAGCGTCCGTGACACATTCTGCTCTCTTAGCCAGGACCTTCTCTCCAGGGAAATAACTGCAGCATCTGTGCCTTCCCACCTACTGCTAGAAAAGCTGATCTGGTCAGACAGACAAGCCAGCAACCTTCCAGAGCTTCAGGTATTTGCCTGTCCCCAGCCAGTGCCAAAGCAGCTTGGACAAAAACTGCCTTGAAAAGGGAACCCCGACCAAGCCGGTGCCTCTTGGAGTTGAGCACTGCCAGCACAGTCCCAGGGCACAGTCAGGCTGCTGCTACTAAGGTCTGTAAATCTGCTAGGGCTTGATTTGGGAGCAACAAACTCTCCAGCAAGGGGAGTAGCTGGGAAGCTT